TTTGATGAGAATAATGACAGGAGACATTTGTCGTGTGTAGTTATGAATAGGGGTGTAACAATAAATTTGTGCATGACTCAAGTCCAATCTTACATGTTTTCTTGTTCAAGAAGCCATTTTACTCTAATATGTCCCAAAAGAGAAGAAAATACATCAATTTCACAGCCTCCATCTCATGTCGACTTTGACAATGACCTGAGGTCATCAAGGTCATGACCTCCACCAGCAGCCACTCCCTCTGCGACTCCCACAAAAGACATTACCCACATAAGGTTTCCTTCTTTTTTTCTTTAAAGAATTAAACACAAAATGCATCTGTCACGTTTGTGTTTGTTTTAAAAAATCAGCATGGTTTTGAAATAAATGAGAGGAACCAAAAGAAAGTGTTACTTTTTCAGCACACAAAGAATTCAATTCTAGAAACCTGGTGGGCAGACAAAAGCCTCTTGTACAGAAACGGCTCCCTACAGCAAAGGGATTAAGCTTTGAGACCTCAGGACTGAGCTCAGGCACACCGTCACAGCATCTCATGTTTAAAGTAGATCAGCATAGTGTTGGAGAACCAGACTGAGATGCTCAGGCTAAATTCAAAAGCCCTCACACTGGCTATGCTTTTATCCAAAGATGACAATTAAACTTCACACAAAAGTGGAATATAGCAATATTCATTCATTCATTTATTAATTCATTCATCAGGGGTCACCACTGTGGAATGAACCGCAAACTTATCCAGCATATGTTTTATGCAGCGAATACCCTTATAGCTGCAACCTAGTACTGTGAAACACCCACACAATCTCACATTTCCACTCATACACTACGGCCAATTTAGTTTATTAGATTCACCTATAGCGCATGTCTTTGGACTGTGGGGGAAATCGGAGCACCCAGAGCAAACCCAAGAGAACATTGAGAACATGTACATACAGATATTCCACACAGATACACAAACTGACCCAGCCGGAGGTTGAATCAGGAACCTTCTTGTTGTGTGGCGACAGTGCTAAATACTGAACCACCATGCCACCCCTATTGCGAGTATATAATGAGTCAAAGAAAAAAAAATGGTGGCAAAAATCAAAAAGAAAAATGGAAATTGATGTAATAGGAGAAGCCACTGTGGGCCTTTGATATATATATATATATATATATATATATATATATATATATATATATATAAAAAGAGTTTAGAAACAAAAACCTCTCAGTGCCATCTCAAGTTCTCTTCTAATAATAGCATTTTTCTCAGGCTCATATGTCTTGTTTCAGTAGTTTCATTTTTATGGCAAAGAATAGTTTGTTTTCATGACTTCTACCTAGAGTTGTCCCAATACCATTAGTTAATCTTAAGATACTATACCAGCTGAAGTATCTTGATACCAAATAATATTGTGATAATGTAATTCATATCTCAAATTATAAAGAAAATTGTCAGAAATACTGTATTTTATGTTATAATAGGCCTACTTGAATGCAATTCATAATTCCCTTAAGGCCAAAAAGTATTATTTGCTCCTTATCTTACCTAAAATGTATTCATTCCTTTTGTTTATTTTGTAGATAACTGACCAACAAAAATGCATTAAAAATAAATATTTATTTAAAATTCAAAAATTGTTTCAATGTTTCCGGTTGCTTTTTAGGGTTTTTTATCTTTTTTTTTCTTTTTTTTAGTCTTATATGGTAACAACAGTGCAAAGTAATTCAATATTTCACTTTGTGAGTCATTCTTTTAAAGAGATTGTCGCGGCCGCTAGAAATCATATCAACAGGAACAAAAATGAACTGATTCAGATGTGCGTTCGAACTGAAGCTTTAGAAAACAGGCAATAGGCTACCATAAAAGGCGTGAATTCTACACAGTTTTGCAACCTTAAAGGGCTCCACAGACTATTTAAATACAATGGTGTATTTTTGCACAAATGTGTGGGCATTTTAGTGACTTTTCCACATGCAACATTATCTATTGTAAATAAACCATTAATGACTACCGTTTACAAAATACAGTGGCATCACTAGTATTTTGGAGTCATAGTATAACAATACTACCATAGTACCGGTAAACCATGCAACCCTACTTCTAACATGAAATAACGTAACATAAACAAAGGAGAAAAATGCTCATTGTAGAAGGAAATTGCAAATGGCACTCTTCATATTATATATAATAAAGATAACATGCAATGAACATTTTGGGTGGCTTTTGGACATGCAAGACTGCTCTTTCGGAGCACAGCAGTCCTGGGAGGTAATAATACTGAATCACTTTGATGATGGACATTGGCTAAAGGATTTTAGAATGAACAAAACAACATTTCAGTTGTTTTACAATGTAGTCAGTCCATTAATGTTATCCTGTTATGCCCATTTTTGTTATGAAACAATCTGTTATAACAAAGTCCCATGAATTTTTTGGTGCGCATGCATGAATTTGTTTGGTAAATATGTTTCTGTTGTAGCTTGTGCACATTTTTTTTTTAATTAAAATATTTATCCTACTGCGTTTAAAAAAATTCCTTTCACTTCAGCACTTTAAATTAGATATTCCAAAATGTGCATAAAAATAAGTGAATGGAAACGTAGCTTCAGTAATTGTGGTGCGAATTCATTATAAGCTTTTTTTTTTTTTTAAATACCAACATTTTTTATTCCACTAAAAAAAGGCAATTTAGCAGGACAGATTTGATCTCGCCATTGTAATAAAGAGATAAATTGGATGATAATGCCTCTGAGGCAAGAGCAGTCAGGTCCCTCAATAATGTCCCGTGAGACTTGCACACCTATTAACCTTTAAAATAAGAGATGTAACTACTCTTTTCTCTCTGCTCCTTTTCCTGCTAGTGATGGATGTTATTACCAATTGGATGGGCAGCCTGTGCAGACCACAGGGTCTTGACCTCAAAGATTGAGTGGGTTTGCACTATATGAAGTCTTCACTGGCCACATTCACACAATCTGAGTTTAGGATTGATCACTGTATGGATAGTATATCTCAGGGGTGATCATACTTTTTCTTATGAAGAGCCAAAAACCAAACTTGAATGAGGCTAGTGTGCTGAAGGTAAATATAATTACCATGGGTAATTTGCTAATTGATTTAATAATGTTTAAAAATGACAACAAAAAAAACCCTGCTTTATATTAACTAATAAAGTATTTTTTTTTACATTTTATAATGAACTTATTACAGTAAAAACAAAACAATCTCATTTATAACAGAATGTCTCGTTTTTGCCTTGATTTGCTCGCCGATGTCTTCTGTATAGTCCTCTATTTGTCGAGTGACAGTATTTACATTTTAAAAAATCTGATTCATTTAAAGATTTAGTTGAAACATTTAATTTCAGATTGCTTTTTGTAGCTCATCAATAAAATAAACAAGAAATGTTGTGTCAAATTAGAAATGACGTTCTCTGTATTAAAGGCATTCGCCCTTAACCCTCTCCATCATTCTCACTCTCCTTCGAGATGGGATCAACCCAGGCTCATCCTGATTACACATCGCTATATACATTTCTGGAGAGAGCAAATTACGTCCCAGGAGGTACTTTTGTTGCAGTTTTTGTTTTCGCGAATCTGCCAGAGGCCCCTGCGTATGCTTTTTGACATCTCAAATATCTCTTGAGAGTGCCAATCGCACCTGCTCTTCTCACATAAATCCACCAGAGGCTGCTATTGACTGACTGACTAACCGATTGATCCCCCCCACCCTCCCCATTCCCTAAACCCAACCAATAGTATTTTGAAAAGCACCTATTGATCCACCCACCCATTTCCTAAACCCAACCGTAGTATTTTGAAAAGAATCTAATAAAAGCCCTCGCCTGATTTTTGCCACGTTTTGAGATTTTTTCACATTCTAACCCTGTTATTTATTTGTTTATTTTATTTTTTGGCTTCTATTTTTGTCTTACCCACTGACTGGAATCGTTCTTCACCAGACTCAAGCGCCAACATTGTAATCAACTACTTTCTGCATCTCAAGTCCACTGACGTACACGTCAAGCTAACTGGACAAACTGGTAACAGCGGAAAAGCCATCCACACGGAGGTAAGCGGTTAGCTGGTTTGCTAGAAAAAGAATGGCATCATACCGCCCCATGGCATTTGTTTTAAAGACGAAATGCAGCCATACGTACTTCTGGCTACATAATTTGTGATCTCTAGAAACGTATATAGGGCTACGTTTTCAGAATGAGCCTATGTTGGATGGGATGGTTAAAGGTTACGATGGGCCAACTTTGGTGATGCCCTACTTTGGTCACCTCTGATATATCTGGATATACATGTCAAAAGGATATTATTGTTTTTTATTATTAAGTATGTGTCAAATTGAATGATTTTGTTGTTTTTTTAAATTTTCTATTGATAATTCCTTTAAAAGCAGCTACTTTTCAAATAGCGCAACTAAATAATAAGAGTTAACTTCTTAAGCACCAAATCAGCATACTAAAATTACTCTAAAAAGATCATGTGACCTTGATGATAAAATGAATGATGCATATATATATATATATTTATATATATATATAATTAATATATAATATATTTAAATAAATCTTACACACTACAGACATTTAACCAGTTTAATTAAGCTCCCTTTGAGATTATTTCAGTAGGATTCAAGATTTTTTTTTATTATTATTATCACAATACAGAGTAGAGTGGAATTAGAAAAGTAACAGATAAGCAATAATAACTGTCTTGAGTGTTATAAAAACAGTGACGATGGTCTTCTAGCAGCCTCTGAGACTCACATGTCATCCTATCATCCTGATAAAAATAACAGTTATCATAACCCCAATATACGAGTAGAGTTACAGTCCCTACTGGCCACTAAAAAGAGAATGAGATGACAGGATCATAATGAGACTGCTCTGAGCGCTGTGATTCCTCTAATGCTCACATTTTATTATTCCCTCAGTAGTTGAGCTGCTTTGAATTGTCTGGGATTGGCATAGCAACATTTCAGTGGTAGTGTTCAGAAGTTCATTTGTTACCTGTGAGGACCTGTGGTGTGGCGGAGTGAGGGATAGTAGCAGCGTCCTGCGGGATTGAGCTCATGTCTGGCTCTGGGGTGCTGCTGGGAGGAGAGATGGCTAGAGGGGTCATCAGACGAGACTTCAGCTGTTTAAAAATAAACACAGTTTTATAAACAGTATAATAAACAGTTTTATTATCATTGCTATTATTATGTTTATGTATTTAATAACATATAGATTTATTACAATACACAAACACACACAGCAAACAAAACACAAAGGAATGAACCGCCAACTATTCCGGCACATGTTTTGTGCTGCTGATGCCCTTCAAGACGCAATCTGGTACTGGGAAACACCCATACACACTCATATACCCTACGGTATATACCCTATGTATATCACACACATACATATACCCTACGGCCAATTTAGTTAATTCAATTCACCTACACTACCTAACAAAATATTTACGTCAATCCCACAAAACAATAACTTGACTTCTGTTACATTACAATCCACCGGAGAAGGCAAAGTCTTCAGCATACCTCCTTCTCATACTTCAGCCTCCACATCAAAGTTCCTGAAAGCTAAGAAGGTGTTCACGAATTGGCCAACCCAATCACCAGACATGAACATTATTGACATTATTGATATTGAAGATGAATGCAAATAATCTTGATGAACTCTGAGAGTCTAGCAAGAAGGCTTTCTTTACCATTCCAGATGACTTTATTAATAAGTTATTTGAGTCATTGCATTGATGCATGGATGCAGTCCTCCAAGCTTATGGGAGTCAAACACAATATTAATTCTTTTTCACCATGACTTAATATTCTATACTGTACATTATTTCTGTTAAGTGACAAGACTTTTGTCTAAGCAAAGTGAGACCTTACTGCCCTAATTAATAAATTAAAAATCAAGACATGATCATATTTTATTTTAGTTAAAAAAAAAGCATAATCTAGAGGCCTTTGCCTTTCAAATAAGCCACTTCTGATAACCAAATGATCAACTAGAAGTCAAGTTATTATTTGCTGTTCCTAAAACTTGAATAGGCGACAAGACTTTTGTCAGGTAGTGTAAACTGCATGTCTTTAGACTTTGGGGAAAACCTTAGCACACAGAGGAAACCCATGCCAACGCTTGGAGAACAAACAAACTCCACACCGAAATTCCAACTGGCCAAGCCGGGACTCTTGCTTTGAGGCGACAGTGCTAACCACTGAGCCACTGTGCCGCGATTAATGAGTTCATATAAATATTTAAATAAAACAAATTTTTTATTTAATGATTCATTTTCTTTTCGGCTTAGTCCCTTTATTACTCTGGGGTCGCCACAGCGGAACTTATCCAGCTCGTTTTTACACAGCGGATGCCCTTCCAGCTGCAACCCATCTCTTGGGAAACATCCACACACACTCAAACACTATGCACAATATAGCCAACCCAATTCACCTGTACCACATGTCTTTGGATTGTTGGGGAAATCGGAGCACCCGGAGGAAACCCACGCGAATGCAAGGAGAACATGCAAACTCCACACAGAAATGCCAACTGATCCAGCCGTTTAAAATAAACTTTTGTTTAACTTAAAAAACTTAGATTAAATGGGGTCTGAACCATTAAACTACTCATTCGTTATTTACAAAGTCTACGTCCAACTGTACTTAATTGCACATTTAAAATATCTTCACTAGAATGCCACTGTGACCAGGGTATTTTAGCATCATTGATCAACTATTGTAATTTTTGTGATAATTATTTAAATTTGTTTTATTTCTAAAGATTTCATTTGAATTTTAGTGAAAGTTGTATTAGTTTTATGTATTTTTGTTCCTTTTATTAGTTGTGTTAATATTACATCTTTATATTTAAAGTAAAAACATTTTTTTTTAAAAAGGAAAACAAAAAAAAGTTTATATTTTTATTTTCAATTGAATTTTATATTCAATTAGTGTTTATTTTGTTTTGAGTAACAGAAGTGTATATAGTTTTATGTTTTAGTTATGATAACTTTGCTGTTGGAATGAGGTCACAAAATAAAATGCACCCATCTACCACTATTTACATCAAGGAAAAATACAATCTTTTTTGTTAATTCAAAGGTTTGCCACTTTGATAACTGACATGAAAAGCAAGATTAATAGGATTGACATTGACTATATCTTAACTAAGCCAAATCAAAAACCGATTTTAGGGTTTCCCATATCCAAACTACCAATTAATCACCAATTATCTTGACAAATTTTCTATTAGAGGGGATAAAACTCGATTAAGCATACACAACAGGCAAAATGTCCCTAACACTACCACAAGAAGCAATGACCATTTTTATTTTAGATAAACCCGAACCATTTGTACTTGGTTTACTGCAAATCTGCAAACATGCACACTCACACATTGCGGTAGTGTGTTGCTCTTTAAATCAGCAGCAGCGACATTATGAGCCCTGTGCTCAGACACACAGCTAAAAATAACCCAGCAGCAGCAGACTGCAGATACATCAGTCAAAGCACAAGCACCCAATCTCCTCCTTCTCTCAGATGAGCCCACCTATGCACAAACTCACACTAGACATTACTCTGTTCCTCTACAGCAGCCACACAATCCTAAGTGTTTGCAGCAGTTCCTATTTAAAAGCACCCCTTGATGACATTTATGCATTCGGCTGATGCATCTGAGCACTGGAAAGGCCTTATCTTTGCAGCAGACACATACATGCTCTTATTTAAATAGACTGATATTTACTGACCTTAAAGCCCGGCTTCCTCCCTCTCTTCTTAGGCACTTTAATGGGTGGGAGGGACTCTGGGTAGCGGCTTTGATATTCCGGGTGCCTCTTCAGGGGTGGCCGACCCCTCTTGCGACCTGGAACTTTTCCACTTGCAGGCGGGAGGAAGGAGGGGCTTATGACCCCAGGTGACTGCATCTCTCCACCCCCTGACTGAACTGATGGAGCAGCAGGAATACTCATCAGACCTGAGTGAGGAAAATACAGTGTCCCAGTCTAAATGTACAACACTTTCATTTATGGTCAATTAAACAGGTATTTAATTTTCTACACTATCATTTTTATACAATTGATAGGTGCACTCAAATTTTGGTTAAGTATGGACAACCCAATGGTTGGGTAAATTACAAAATGCTGTTTAAAATTTACCCCAACCAAGAGTCTGTATTTTGCCCAAATGTTTTGTATTTTTCATATTACAGTTGAAAGAATTTAAAAACAGCAATAAAGACAAAACACACATTTTAACCATGGGGTTATTATGCTACTCTTTAATGCACCCAACAACCAAAACACACACACACACACACACACACACACACATTTCTGTAGTCAGTATGAAATTCTGGGTTCCCACACCTTTTGACCAATGAATTTCCATTTCCGTGTTTACTGGGCAATTTTAGTAATCTGAAAGAAAAAAAATTAGAATAAAAATATGGCAATTTTAGCTGATTTTTGTCATTTACAAAAGTAGCAAATTAATTAATTACAAGAAATTCAATCCAGCTAAAAATGTAAAGATTTAGAATGCACTATAAAAAAGAAACAAAGGAGAAGATAAAGGAAAATGTCTGTCTGTCTGCAGAAAAACAGATCTTGTCTATCAAAAATTGCCAGAATAATGGCTGACAAATTTACATACAAATTTCTGTCTTAACCAAACATTAAATCTTCCCAACTCTGTTATTTTTAAGACCATACCCAAAGATACAAACGCACAACATCTGATATTTTAATCAGTAAAAAAAAAGTTGAAAAGAGCCTATAAAAATGTGCACAGACTTTAAGAAAAGTGCACAATGAGTAAACTGCAATGAGCAACATTGTAACTAGACAGCATTCTGTCCTTATTATGCTTATTATTAGACCCCCGGTTTATTTTTTCCCCAATTTCTGTTTAATAGAAAGCAGATTTTTTTTCAACATATTTATAAACAATAGTTTTAATAACTCATCTCTAATATCTGATTTATTTTATCTTTGCCATGATGACAGAAATTTTTTTTTAATAGACATTTTTCAAGACACTTCTATACAGCTTAAAGTGACATTTAAAGGCTTAACTAGGTAAATTAGGTTAATTAGGCAGGTTGGGGTAAATAGGGAAGTTTTTTGTATAACGATGGTTTGTTCTGTAGACTATCGAAAAAGATTAAAGGGGCTAATAATTTTGATCTTAAAATGGCTTTAAAAAAATTTAAAACTACTTTTATTCTAGCTGAAATATATATATAATTTAATATAAATTATCAGACATACTGTGAAAATGTCCTTGCTCTGTAAAACAGAATTTGGGAAATATTTAAAAAAGTAAGAAAACTCAAAGGGGGCTAATAATTCTGACTTTAACTTTATGTTCGTTGAATTTCTCTGAAAAGATTGTTTGTGGCGCACCAAGATTCAGAATGCAGTGTTACATATCCAAATAAAAAGTACTGGAATTTAATCCAACTAAACAAGACAAAATCATTTAAATTATAATAAGTCACTGCTTTAACAAACATTTTCAGAAAGCAAAGCTGACAACTCTAGAACACACTGCATAACCACAGTGCATAAACTGCAAATGAACTGTTACTGAAACAAACAGGAGTACCTGTATTACAGCTACACTGTCTGATTACAAAAATAAACACTGCACAAGAATATAATGCACAGCCACAAGTGAGGACACGTTTAACAGTCTTCAGCATTTTAAATTCTTGAAAGTTTTTAATATTTAGATTTTTTTATTAAAAAAGCTATACTTTTTATTACATAATCTTTGCATCAATTTTTTTTAAAAATAGTAGCATTTATGAAAGGCGTTTCTAATGCAACATCTATGGGCAGAAAAGTTCATTTGACACTGTCTAACAAAAAATTCTTGTTTTGAAAGTTGTGGAAACACTATGGTGAGGTTGTTATTATGGTTATTGGTATAATCTTTTATAATAGCCACACTATGGTTATTAAGTGGGCGAATAATGCAAAAAAATTAATTAATTAAATTGTGGTACTCTCTCATGTATGTTTTCCCAAACTATGATTACTTCTGCTGCTAAGAAATGTAAAAAATCCTTTTGCACAAAATGTATTTTAGATATTTCATTTTAGTAGTATAGCCTAATTGGGTAATTATATTATTTTAAGAACAAAAGCTTGACGGTTTAGAAATGAGGTGGCCTAAAGTGTGCAGACTGTGAAAGAAGCAGACACATGGAGCCACATAAAAGCATCTTCTCTATCCTGCGCTCCTCCAGCTCTCTCTCTCTCTCTCTCTCTCTCTCTCTCTCTCTCTCTCTCTCTCTCTCTCTCTGAGCGAGTGAGTCCCCCTCCCCCAGCCCTCATTGAGTCTCATCCCCTCCCCCTCCAGCTGTGGCCTTACCATCAGCTTCTTCTGCTCTCCTCCTCTCATCCTTCCTTTACCGAGTATTCCCTCAAACTCTTTGAACCTGGAGCTTCTAAGATGAAACTAATTCATTATATTAAATAATGATTTCTTTAGGACAGAGAAATTAATAAGATACAAAACATATTAATCTAAAAATGCTGTTATTCTCAAATTGGTGTTTGTTATCCTATTATTGTAAGATATTACAGTAATCATAAGCGCACTTTTTGTAGTGCAAATCATTTTTGTTTTGCACTTATAGGCTCTGTTTACACCTGGTATGAGATTTTTAGTAAATCAGGTCAGAACATTTCAAATTCAATTTTTATTTGTCACATGCATAGATAGACATTGAGATGCTTATAAGTATGAAGACACATTTCCATTTACATCTGGTGTTTTAATCTCTTTTGTCCATTTTCTATCTTTCCTTATTTCTTCATATGTTATCCTTATAAAGATAATTTCAATGTGGTGATGTCATTGGCCCTTGAACATTTCCTGCTTGTTATGGTACTATTTCATAATTGTAAAAGGAGGAAATTAAATCATATATTTATGTTAAAACAGCTATCATAAAATTATTTAGCAATATGTGGACCTTTTTGGATTCTCTGAAGCTATGGAAATTTAAAAAAAATGTTAAACCATTGTTAATGTTTACATTTCTCAAAATGGTCTATACACCTACATAATTTACATACATTAATGTACTCTGATAGCCACAAAACAATTTCATCTGGCTGCTAACATGTCTTCGTATCTGTATCATTTGCGTCAGTTTGAATGCATTTGACCACATAAGCATTTACATTACAGAAGCAATCCAGTCAAACATATTTTAGACCGTTTCTGGAAGTGGTCAAAAATGGACAAGCTCTAAACATTTCACACCAATTTTACACCAGTATTTAGCCTTCTATTTTAATCAGATCAACAAAAACACATCTTAAATATACCAGTCGTGAACCATTTGTTATTCTCCTAGTAATTTACACTCTTGCAAATAAAAATGGCCAGTGATGCCACTAAACACTAGTGCCATTCTGTTTTTTTTCTGTTTTTTTGTGTGTGTTTTACAAATAAACTTTTAGCTTGTTTTTTGTTGTTTATTTTTTAAACACCTTTTTTCATTTTGTGAATAACAGCTTAATAGTCCAAAGACCCCTTTCCCATCCTAAAAACCTTTCTATGTGGAATAAAATGATTCTACAAATCTCAAAGGTTCTACATGGAAACATAAAAGCCAATAAAGAAGCTTTAAGTGTGGGTCTATAGCCTACCTATAACCAGGGCCAGACAGAATCTGCGGACATTTTTTGCTATTTCTGTGGAGAATTTTGTTACAAATCTGTGGATTTATGTGGAATGATTTTAGGAGTATCGTAACTATAAAATTAATATATAATACAAAAAAATAATACCTTTTTAACTTTTTTTAATGTTTACAATGCAAATCCAATTAGTTACTTATTTGGTAAACAAAGCAAGTCTCTCATTTGATATCTCTACTAAAAGAGATAAAATATAACTTTACAAACAGTATTGTGAATAAATTATATGAACATTTTAATATTACTATTATAACACAATAATATTAGTGAAAATAATTTAAAAATTAACAAATACAAATTTACACAAGTAAATTTATTAATGATGGGCTAAAATCTGCGGATTTCTGCATGTAGATTCTGTGTGGGCCTACCTTTAGCTAATAATTTTTCTTTCTGAGGTGTATAAAATAAAATAATAGTGTTAATAAAACAATACAACCAATAATATTTAATCATAATGATTTTAGTAATAATATCTTTAATTATTTGAACTAATTTAGTATTTCCTGTAACAACACAAACTCATTTTCAGTTTTTAAAGGGTGTGTGGTAAATATGCTATAAAACCTGATTTTCTAAAATCCCTCATGATAAATATTAAATGACTAAATGAAAAAGAGCAAGGACTAAAAAAAGTAATTGCCAACATCGAATATGTGATTTAGAAATATAAAATAATAATAATACACATTTTTCTACAAGAAAAAGAGAGATGACCCTAATTATAAACTGTTCTCATATGCACTTTCTAAAACATCGGATTATTTCCGCTCACCTGCGCTCTATCTCCCTCTCTCTCCCTCATATACATCAGGCAGGCCATGCGTAATTGCATTAATCTTTTTATCGCCGTCAATGTTCTGCTTCCAAAATCAACAAAAGGAAACCCTTCATTTTAATCCGGACGACAAAAACTCGACAACCGGCAAACGCTTTATCCTGGGAAAGAGGGCCATTAAAAATAGCGCGTCAAAAATAGAGCCCCATTCCTCATGCGCGTGTTCATGTTTACGAGCGGTGCGCGAGCTTTCCTTCCTTTCCTCCTAATCTCACCGCCAAAATCAGAGGCACGCAAACATGCTGTAAATGTACGAGCACTCACCGAGCACCCAGCGCAGGAGCGGACCTGTTATCAGCAGTGTCAAGAAAAGCGTCTAAAAGCCGCTTAATTCCGAGTCTCCGTCGCTGTCACGGAGCGGCCGCTTCTGAAGCCCCGGCAGCCCTGAGCCTCCAGCGCGCGCTCTCGACAGACACCGCC